CATTTTTGTTTTGTTTTAATAAAAAAAAACAGATATATATATATATATATATATATATTGCTCATTACAATGATTATTATGTTATAAATTTAAAAACGATGAAAAATTGAACGACTACAAAAATTATTTATAATACTATTTTATTATTCTTTAAACGTAATTTTCTTTAAACGAACTGATCAATCATTTCTTTTAATTTAATTCATGATTTTTATGATACCCGTTATACGTAAAAACTTAAGAGCAATTTAAATAGTTCATTCGTATAACTCGAAGCTATTAACATAAAATCGACTAGCTAGTCCAGATCACTTGGTTAAATGTCAAGAGATATATATCGGTTTTCGTGTCGTCTACGAGTCACGACATTTATAAATATTCGGGTGTTCTTGGATGGAGGAGAAGCAGAAAATAATTCGATATTTTTAATCTCACTTTTCAATTGCTTTCTCGAGGAAAGTTTTTCGCGAACTAAACGAATATCAATTTTTCATTTAAGAAATGAATATCAATCTAAAACGAGTGGGAACAAATAATTCTTCTTGTTTCTTTATTTAATATAAATTCCTTCGGATAGGTTCATATAAAATTTTATATTTTAGTCAGAAATAAAAAGAAATGAGAAAAAAGAAAAGAAATATTATAGTAAGCATAAAAAAAAGAACTAAGTGCATATAGGCATACATAAATTTATGACTCCATTAAGAAAATATACTTAACACACATATGTAACTAATGCTATACCACGTATAAAGTGCATTTTAATATTTCAACGTGAAATAATTTACAAACTGAAATAGTCTAGGGTTTACTTCTCTGTTTTCTTTTTTTATCATTACTTTTTTTTCACGTGATAATTTTAATACACAAGTAACACGTGAGTATATGAATTGCACATGAAGACTAATAAGTACTCGACTAAGTGTTAGAGGATTATGATTATTATAAAATTTAAAATACGATGTATCTCTCTCTCTCTTACACACGCCATTTTTTTTCTCTAATTTTTTATCTATCATTTTATCAAACGAAATTACTTTCCTAACAGCCTAATATTTATCTATCTATCTTTATTTCTATTTTAATCAAGTGGAATAGCGTTATTCATTGTTAATATTCATTTTAAACGTTCGATTAAGCTAATCGATAATTTCCAAGTAGGTTCTTTGTGCATCCCACTATTAATAATAATAGAATGCTTTAGTTGGCTTTATTTCATGTCTGGTGAACGTTCAAAGGAATTCGTAGTTCTTTTCAAAAGACTGAATGCCAGAACGTGCTAGTAAGCAAGATGAAATTGCATAGAAGAAATGTTTCGTTCAAGTAAGTATTCTATGAAATATTTGAAAAATTGTTATGAACTTTTGATTTAATTAAAGAATTAAAAAATTAAAGACAAAATGATTAAGAGAAGTCAGTTATATATGCATTTGATATTAGGTACCATTTGTATGTGCTTATCGCGATTTACGAGAAATACACGACGAAATTATCTGATTCTATTGGAAACGATTACATGATGCGTAATTGAATGCAATGAAAGCACTGAATGAATCCTATTAGTGTCATTAGTAGATAGATTGTAGGCAGACTAATTGTAAGTGTTGAATAATATAATTAGAAAGTTTTATACACATATCTGATGTTATATAATGTCTATTATATAATAATATTGTATATTTATATATATCTATAATAAAAAATACAATGTGGTCTTACATTAGAATTAATTTAAAGTTAAAAAATTATTTTTATAGGTATTCCATTTGATGGAAAAATAATTGCAGTTTTTACGTATCGAATTCCAAACAATTATTGGATTTAAATGTCAAATAACCTTAATGATCAATATTGAATTTTCTTCTGTAATCATTGAATTATTTTACGTGAGTTTGTTTCAATAATAACCCACAAATTATTATAGTCATT